CGTCGATCGAACCTCACTGAGATCTTTCAAACATCCACTCTTTCTGCGTCGGTTACAGTCTTCAAACGTCGAGTATTGTGATTAGTTAGAGCTCCCACTTTGCGGCTGCATGGTTTGTAGGATCCGCTCTTGCCCAGGACTGTCACTCCTTCGATGTCTAAAAAGCAAATTAAAGGCATAAGGCGCAGTGATTTGGTCGTTGCTCTTGATTGTAGCTGGGATGCTTCACAGTGGACGGAAGAAACGAAGTTGAACTATTAAAAACCTGCAAAAGAACCTTTGTTCTGCACGGCTTGAACGAGTATACAGAAGCACTTGGACGAGTTGCCCGTTGGCATCGTGCCAAGAATCAGTTTGGTAGATACTGCTGCAAGTATGTATTCATTACCCATCCAGCAACGCTTCGTACCAACTGGTCTTCATAGATGAAGCGATAAGAGCATCAGCGTCGATGTTCGGCCATTTGTGGGCGGGCGGTTGCGGTGGGCGTTTAGGTTGGCATGCTGCGTGATTAGGCGCTATAATGGTGCCCTTAGTTGGAAAAGGCGCCGGCAGCGCCTGCAAAGGGCACGATATTCTTCCAAGCTAGGCGTATCGCCCCGTACGCTTGTCAATTTATTGTGCCATTTGCCTTCAAATTGTAGCGTGAATTCGGGTGCAGGATCAAGGGTGAAAGCAACGAAATCGAGAGACTGGGCGTTAATTCTTTATTTTCAATATACTTATACTTTCCAGCTGTCGCAGTGTGCTATGTTGTCGGGCGACTCCACTTCAGAAAGCATCGCTGGTGAAGATGGCAAAAACTCGGCTTGGTGGAAAAGTCTTAGCTATTGGAGACGGTGCCAACGATGTTTCTATGATCCAAGTGAGCGTTTAACTATTACTAGCTACTACCTACCGGCTCCTTCTACTTCTTCTATTATATTTCCCTCTAACAGTGTTTGGGAAACGGTCGTCCGCAGTAATTGCTATCCATCATTCAACTCAATACGTCATGCTTCTTCTACCTTACC